CAGTGTAGTAATGGCAATGGAATCTTAAGGTCCCATGTCATGCTTTTCTGGTTATTACCCGTCCCCTTGTGTGTTATGTAGCTTTTTCTGCATGTAAACGGTCTGCAGTCACAAACCCTCAAAGTACACCCTGGGCCTGTAGCGAGTAAAAGTCTAACACAGAAAGTACCTGTCTATACTGCCCCAGAACGCCTCGTTGGAGATTTCTCTTTTTCCATTGTTTACTTCTTGGGTATAGTGACGTATTTGGGTATAGTGACGTAACGTAACGGCTCCGCAGATTGGTCCAATCCGCGGAGCCGTTACGTTACGTCCGCGGAGCCGTTACGTTTGGACCAATCCGTGGACTTCCTCACACACACACACTCGGCGGGACATTGCGAGGCTCGCTGCTGCGAGGAGCGGACAGTGTGAGCTGGCTCACTGGTGTAGGGTCCGTGAGACACCGCGGAACTCAGCCTGAGCACACACACAAACTCCCAGCCAGGCTGCGGGTGTGTGTGTGTTTCGGGCTGGGTTTTGCTGTGTCTCGCAGACGGCCACTGGGCTCACAGGGAGGGGGGGCAGGAGCTCCAACAAGCCGTTTAGGACAGAGAGTGAATACACATACTATACAGAGATGCCGTACGAGAAACCAATGTGAGTTTGGAAAATTGAACAATATAAATGTATTCTAGTAGACCTCAACAATGGAATTATGATCAGTAGAAATGGCCATGACATGATGGGACCTTTAAGTCCCAGGCTCCTTCAGCAATGCAACATACATATATATAAGATATAAGAAGAAAACTGAAATAAAATAGTGCAATAGAATGTTGCCAAGACCAATGTACAGGTAAATGTCTAAGAAGTAAACTATATACATATAAAATAATAAGATGAGCTAAAAACAGAATCTAAGATTAAATAGTACAGGAATAAAATACTCATTATTGTAATTACAAATAAATATGTGGAATTCAACCAGATGGATGCTGAAGGTTATGAAGGCTTGATATATATCATATATGATGTTGTTGCAGTGTTGTATGTCCGCTGCCTCCTCTGCCCTGGTATCTGTTTACACTTTCACCTGCCAGAAGAAACAGGACACTGGCTGGCAGTAAGAACTGTTCCTTATTCAGGCAATCAATGCATCCGGCGTCTCATCCTGGTTTGTTTTCAGATATCTGATATCAGCGTCTAAAGTTGTTTACTATAACTTTTAACGGAGCCAACTTCTCTGGTCTTTAGACGCTTACTTGTGACAATAGAAAGATGAAGCAAACTGACCTTAGGTTTTATGAGTGAGTCTATTCTGTAATTTAGGTCCTGCCACTCACTTCTTTATTTCCATGTTTTCCATCCTCGTTTTGCTGAGATAAATGCTCGCAATCCAGGGTCACTGGAGCTCATTTGTCAGCCAAATGAAGTTTCCATTCTGCCCTTCACGAACCACAGCTTGTGGAAGACGCACGTGGCTTTCATTTGAATGCAGAAGTATTTAACTTTTGCCTTTTTATCTGTACCTTGCCGTGGTGACGCGATACATTTCCCTGCTGTTGGGCGAAAAAAGGCTTTTTGATTCTGAGACTGCTCTGGGAATATATTAGTATTGACAGTTGTTTGGAAGTCTTCTAAATATCTTTAATGATTCACAACAACACACATAAACTAAAAAGTTATTGAGCAATAGCTTTTAAATTTATCAGTTAAATTTTTTTGCAAAAAAGACTATTTATTGGTATCTGGTTGAAAGTCTTTTTTGGGAACTAATGCCATGGAAAAAGTGCTTTAGTGGAACATTTACCATGAGATACACCTTTTTATATTAGTGAACTGATTAATGATGCCAAGTGCTGGGACAGAGCACTGACTTGTTGCCAGGAGAGAGGCCGTTTCTTTGGACACTAGACATGTAACAATGCCTTGTCACCGCAAAGTGTTTTGAGCGTTTTGATTAATCTTTCCTGCAATACATTAAGTAAACAAGGTAGTGCATGGGCGGAGTCTTGTGTCAACAGGAGGTTTTATTTGCGTTGTATTGTTTTCTAGAAGGGAATAGACAAAAGAAGGTTAGCCTTGTGATGTAAAATCATAAGAAACATCAATTCAATTCAAATAGCTTTATTAGCATGACCATAGTGACGTATATATTGCGAAAGCTTTGTACAATTATGACATCTAAACATCAATATACATATGAGATCTCAAACACACACATTTTTTTTGTTTTGTTCTTCTTGTGTGTCAGTCATCCACAACAATCAGAAGTGCTGTGCTCCACATGTACCAGTCATTGTTAACCAATCAGAAGTGGCCCATGATAGAAGGTGATAGACAGATTGATCCAATCACCTGCCAAGTATTTTTAAAATACTTTTCCAAATGGCTTCCAATGGAGATTTAGATGGTTCGGTGAAATAAACCATCTGAGTCAGTGCTCAGTGCTCCATCACATGTTTCTATTACAGGGTGAATCTTAAACTGAAGCTTGACTTTAAAGCTACGAGTGAAAGAACTGAACTTACAGTAAGTTCAGTTCTTTCACTCGTAGCTCGGGCTGCGGGGGTGCTAGAGACGGGAGCACGTTGATGCAACCTTCCTAGCCGGAGATATGGCCACACACACACACACACAGACAGACAGACAGACAGACAGACAGACAGACAGACAGACAGACAGACAGACAGACAGACAGACACACACACACTGATGAGAGACGACCTTGAACATAAATAAAGTCTCTTAGGGATTAAACATCTTTAACAAGAACAACAACATGTTATCTTTACATGGAAAACAATATGCTTTTTGAACATGAACTAGAAAAAGTCATTAAAACAAAACACATAACAATTAAAAAAGTCAAGGTGAGTTTTTGATTATTGCCCTTGACTGAACAAATATTCAGATGTGAGTTAGACACCACAGCAGCCTTGTCTCTCTGGGCCTCCAGACTGTCTCACTCTTAGAAGCCATAACAAACGCTGTGTTGCTCATAAAGTGAATTTAAAGCCAAGGCCAGAGCCTAATCTCCCAGCTGGGACACTGGGGCCACTGGCAGTGGGACGGCTGATTAGATGCATTTGCTCTGACGAATGCCAGATGTCTTCCAAGTGAGATAGTTGGCTGTCCTTTCTTGGATTCACCCAACAGCAGCACACATATCACGGTACATTCTGTTCCTTTTGTCTTTAGTTCAACAGTCTTTATCACCATCCGAAGCTTACCTAACAGCTCTTTTTATTACAAGGCCAGCGTCTAATTGTTTCAGCCTTCATTATTTCAAGAGGTTTAACTACCCTAGGGCATCAAACAAGTCCGTACACACACACCTTCAATAGGTCTGCCTGGTGAAGTAAGGGTTTAATGGAGAGAGTGGTTGCTAGTGGCAGCTTTACAACAAGTACACTGCTGAGGAGGATTTGTTGCTTATTAAAGGGCCTCAAATCTCAACTAGAAGTGGCTTTAGATGCAATACTGGCTTCGAACCATCTGTAATGTAGAATAAAATTATTATCTCTTTAGTTTTCTATGTCTCACTGATTCAAACTGCTCACATATGAAATCATGTCTCATGTGAATCTTTCTTTATCAAGTGATTCATGGACGAAACCTTTATTTTGTTTTGATCCAATGCTGCACAACTGAACTGATCCAATGCTGCTGTGAAAAAAAGAAGCTATATCCATGTTGGATAGAATATCCAATTTAAATAAAAAAATAACCTTAAGGGACAACTTGAATGCTTTTTTTCTTTTTTTTCTCTTAATGCATTGCATAAAGATCGGATCGGGAAAAATCGGTATCGGCAAATTGTCAAAATCAAATGATCGGAATCGGATCGGGAGCAAAAAAAGGTGATCGGGACATCCCTAGTCTCAGGGACACAACTACATGCTGACTGCAGTGGGACTCGAACTTGTTACCCCCTGATTCGAAGTCCAGCACACTATCCACTGAGCCACGGAGCCTCAGTTTCGCCACTGCGAGGCTCCGGCGCTCGCAGTTCACGCGCGTGCTCCACTAGCACGGCCCCCGCCAAGGCTCGCCGGCAGTACACTTTCCGTCACAGGAACACGCTTTGCTGGCGGCGAAAAGAATCCCACCAGACTAAGGGTGTCAAATGAAGGCAAGGCGCCCCCCCTGGCGGAAACGCTGACTTCCACCATTTCCCCAAGCTGTAGTTTTTTACAGTTGTGTGGTAGCATGTGTCCTTCAAACTGGAAAACATAAAGATGACTTTAAGATGGCCTACTTACTTTTCTGTGTATGCATGCATGATAATTCAGGCAGTCTGCAGGTAACCACAAAGTCATGTTAGGAACAGAGTTACATAACGCAGGAATTTCACAGGCAGACTTAATTTTCTTCTCATACTTTCCAGCTAAATGATGAGTCATGACATCAACATCTGTCCATGCCAGATCGCCAACAGATGTGCTTTATAGAAGTCTACTTATTTGTAATTACAGTTCAACTGTGGTTGCAAAAATGTGGCGGTAAATCAGGCCAGTGTGTGTTTCAAAACTTCCCAAAAGAATGCACTCACAGCCACATTTTCACAACAAACAACAAATTGACCGTCTTCTATTTCTTCTTGTGCTTTTGGGGAGCAAGCGGGGTAGAGGTGATATTTGCATTTGGTGGTACAGGGCGGTACAAAACAGTGAAGGCCTGCTTTTTCCTCTGTGATTAATGAACAATCTGTTAAGTTTAAAAAGAGGTTTCACCATCTTCATTCACGTTTTTAAAATTGAAAGATCTGAACACCAAAATAATCTGATCCTTTGCTCCTTGGTTTGTGAGACTTGAGTCATCTTTAAAGATATGAATTGTTGGAATCTTGCTAACCAGTTGCTGGAGACACTTCCAGTCTCAACAAAACACCGCAAGCTCCTGAGTTGACTCATGAAATGTCTTTGGTATAGCGCGGGTGGAGCCTTGGAACACACCTCGCATTGAATCACAGCTGAATCACATAATATCTCAAAGAAGAGACAGAAAAAACACCCGGAATTAACATTTGCAAGTGACTGCAGAGTGCTAATGTTTTTACTTGAGGCAAAGTGTTGGAACAACTACAATCCACTTCTAAAAGGATCAGAGAAATATGTAATTTGAGACAATGGAAACAAAGGCCTTGGGAATATGCCTTTTCTCTCGCTGTAGTTCTCTACTAATATCCCTTGGGCAAGGTTTTTTGTTCTTGTTGTGGTGGCGTTAAATATGTTCCTGCCGTAACAAAGGCAATATACACGTATTAAGTCAAAGAAAACATGTAAAAAAAACAGATGGTGGTATAATACTTATACTTATATATAGAGATGTCCCGATCCGATCATGTGATCGGGGATCGGAGCCGATCACGTGATTTTCAAAAGATCGGTAAATACTTTTTTAAAATTTTGTATTCAATGTTACAAAACAAAAATGACCATGTTCAAGTCTTAAAGTCATCCTGAGGCCTTAGTTTTGGTTTCAAATTACAGAACATCATGTATGTGTTGCTTCTTTGGGGCTTGTTTTCATAGACCTGGTTGCTTATTTCTCTCAAATCTGGCAACAGAGTGGGCAGGGCGCAGTGTCTAATTGTAGCAGTAAGCTAACGAGTACTGATAAGCTTTATTTTGTTTTGATCCAATGCTGCACAACTGAACTGATCCAATGCTGCTGTGAAAGAAAGAAGCTATATCCATGTTGGATAGAATATCCAATTTAAATGAAAAAATAACCTTAAGGGACAACTTGAATGTTTTTTTGTTTTTTTCTCTTAATGCATTGCATAAAGATCGGATCGGGAAAAATCGGTATCGGCAAATTGTCAAAATCAAATGATCGGAATCGGATCGGGAGCAAAAAAAGGTGATCGGGACATCCCTACTTATATATCCTTTTGAAACAAGCGAGGGCCCCTGTTCTGCTCTCACCTCGTGACAGAGTCGTTGCGTCTTCGGCCAATCAGCAGCTGCGTATGCCAGCTTTGTTCTACTTTGACCGTGAGAAACAACTTTAATGCTACACAGACAAGATAGACAACATTTGGCCGCTGCTGTAGTGAATGTAATCTCATTTGCTTAAAGGATGATGGCAGTTAGCATGGCGAATAACGATGTTTGGCAGATCCCTACTTCGCCCTCTGTTCAGCAGTCCTTGTTGTTTAGCTAGAGAGATACATGCGCTGCTTTCTCTTGACCCAATTTACTCACTCAGATTCCTGTGCACAGCTGCATCTCTTTGAGGAATGCATGGCTTTTCATGAGCTTGTTGTAAACAGAGAGATGGTGGTGATGCTTTGTTTTGCTGAGCTCAGTGTACAGTGTCAGCAACAATACAGTTACATTTTGACCTGAAAGTTTGCTGACTTGTGGTCAACAAAACTGAACAGCTTTTATTGAAGGAAAGCAATTCCGGAGCGATTGGGACCGTAACCCTGTGACCCTAAACTCTATCCTCCTCTGTGATTTTACTGGTAGATCCAGTAAGTAGTGTGTTTAGTAGCGGCGATTTTGACTGAGTCTCCTAGTCTCTACGTTCAAGTCTCTACACCTATGTTTGCGTTACGACACTTATTAGCGTAGAGTTCTAACACAGTGGCGTAGAGGGAATAAGTGGACCACAGCACAGGAA